TCTGTGTAACTTTGACTGGTCTGGAATTTGTTGGGATATTCTATGTTGCGTGGTTCAGTTGTAGAAAGAAGTCACTCCAACATGAAATGTTAAAGTCTGTGTGGCAGCAGGAAGGTCCAGCCTCTGATGAACTGTACACCGAACAGCCATACAAAGGCCTATTTATTGATTGTTACACAAAGTTGTTTTTTGGGTAAAGTACTTCCTCATACCAAGGTGCTATCTAATCTATATGCCTCTCTAAAGGAAAGTATCACATGCCCTCATGACTTTAGTCTTTACTGTGTGTCATTTGCAATGCATAATGGTGTGCCAGAGGCATCTTGTGACCAAAATCATTCAAAGACTGCAACGCCCCTTCAGAAAAACAATTCTACAAATCATGGAAATCAATCACTGTTTTCCACAAAGATTCTTCAAGATCAGAGTACTTCTAGAAAACAACTATTTACTCTAATGTTTACCCTGGATACAGTGAGAACTGTTCATTGTAATATCTACCCCAGATACAGGACTGCTAAATTCCTGCAACAGGAACTTGCTATACTAGACCAAGTTGGCCTTGAACTCACAGAGATCCACTTGCCTTTATCTTCTGAGTGCTAGGATTAAAGCATCTACCACCATCATTCCTGGCAGATTTTTTTTTTTTTGAGGGAGGGTGTCTTACAGTTATCACTGATATGATGAAACATCATAACCAAAGCAACTTGGTGGTGGTGGGTGGGAGGGGGCATTGGCTTACATTTCCACATCACTGTTCATCACTGAAGGAAGTCAAGACAGGAACTCAAACAGGGCAGGAACCTGGAGGCAGGAGCTGATGCAGAGGCCATAGAGGGGTGCTCCTTTCTGGCTTGCTCCTCATGTCTAGATCAGTCTGCTTTTTTAGAGGGCTGGAGAGATGGCTCAGAGGTTAAGAGCACTGACTGCTCTCCCAGAGGTCCTGAGTTCAATTCCCAGCAACCAGATGGTGGCTCACAACCATCTGTAATGAGATCTGGTGCCCTCTTCTGGCCTGCAGTCATACATGCTGTATACGTAATAAATAAATAAATCTTTAAAAAAAAAAAAAAAAACAAACAAAAACCCAGGGCCATCAGCCCAGGGATGACCCCACCCACAATGGGCTGGGCCCTCCCTTATTAATCACTAATTAAGAAAATGCTGTACAATCTTGCCTGCAGCTCAGTCTTGTAGAGGCATTTTCTCAGTGGGATTCTCTCCTCTCAGATGACTCTAGCCTGTGTCAAGTTAGATAAAAATAGACAGCACAGAGGGTCTCACTATATAGTCTCTGATAAATTCTCTCTGTGTAGTCCACTCTGGCCTTGAACTCACCATCACCTTGGCTTGGCTTCCAGGGCCAAGAATGCTGGCAGCATTCTAGGATTTTTACCAGCACCCTGGTGTCTACTTCCTACATGCTGGTAACCCCTCACCAAGTGGAGGCAATGAAGAATACATTCACATACTGCTGACTGTCCTGGAAAGTGGGGGAATTAGGCTTGGCTGGGAACTGTGGGTTTAGATTTGATTTTGCCCCATTGCTATTGTGTGTTCTAAAGTCCCGGGAATTGTGAACTGTTGGTCAGTCTGATTGGGATTGGCTTTTTGTCCATGTGTGAGGTTGGGGATCCTGAATGGTCTCTTCTCCATCTTGACACATGCATGTTCTGGTGAGTATTCAAGGGAGAACCCCTGTAAATCTCTCAGTTCTCCATCGGAGTGCCCTACAAATACAGCCACCTTGGTGAGCTCAGCTCACCCGGATTTCTTGTCTTAGGCCTCTCCTGAATACTGTGAGCCCACCTCATTTGTTTACTGTCTCTCGGGGATTTGGCTGAGAGGTCCATCATTTTGAATCTTTTTCATGTATTTTATTCATCATTTGATTACTTCAAATCAGAGAGTAAAATTTGTTCTGTTTTTATATCTTGGCCAGAAGCAGCAGTCCTACAGATAATTGATGTGAATCAATTATTAGTTAAAACGGAAAGCATCCTTGAACATTTACTGACCAAAATTCATTTTATTGATTTGTATCAAACCAGTGTCTGTCGTATTCTTTGTTCAAAGTTTTCTGTTCCCTGGAATTCCTGTGGTACAACATGACTATTAAATGGACCCTGGAGCTTACTGGCATTCTTAATGTTCTCTTTAGTACAAGTTCTCACAGTTGGAGTAAGTACTGGTTACTGTGGCCCTGTAACTATTATGTAGTAGCACACAATTAAAGGACATGCACTAACCTGATGAGGCGGAGCGGTGAAATGTGTCATGCTTTTAAGGCATTCCCACAGCAAGCTCAAAGGCTTCTAGGAGGCTTCTATGTTGGTACTCATATTATCTAGTGGTTAAAGCATGGGCATCAAAGCTTGATTGAAGTTGAAAGAAGTGGTGAGTTAATATGGGGAGAAATGTGGAAGAAGAGAAGAATCATTTTGCTCAGAGTGTGAGATGAAACTGTACTAAAGAATAGTGCTCCGAGGATGGGAGTGACTTGGAACCCGCTGGTGGTAAGCCGCTGGAGAAGGGAAAGTAGAAGAGTGGAAATAAAGGAGAACTTGTTGTAGATGAGGTTTGCTACTTGGTCACTGCTGCTGCGTTTATAGTGTGTTGTTGGGTATCCAAGTTTGATGATTTAGTCGGAGCGTACTGGGAAAGGAATATGCAGATGTAGCAGAAAGGGTGAAACCATTTGGCAACGATTATAAACTCAAACCATAGTTTCCTGGAGTTTTACATATGCTATATGTAACTTTGCAGCAGACTTAAAATACAAACTCCTTGTTGATGGATAAGATGTTAATTTTCTAAGATTGGGAAAAAATGTGGGTTGATAATGAAATATACTTTAATCTTTCCAAAAAATGAGGATTCTTTTTTTAGTATCAAGACAAAATACTTAATGATGGACATTTTCATCTTTGGGTGAATTTCATCAAGTTTATCTCTTATTTCTGAATACTTTTGGTGATATGAGTGAGCTTATTAGTTCATGTATCTGCTTTTGTTCCGTGATAGTAAGTCTTTGTGACAAGTGTTCTGTGTGGGAAGGGGGGACGGTAACATCACCTGCCTTTTCCTTTCCTCAGCCTAAGGAAGCTGAGATGTTTTTCCTGACTCCAGAATGTGTGCTCTAAAGCCATGAGAAATGCTTAGTCAGGAGATCAGAGCATCATCGGGGTAGGAGGGGAGAGAAGATGCTGTCTCAGACATTGTGGAGAACCTTTGTCCTGGAGGGTATTTAGTTATATTAGCTTTTCTTTTCTTTCTTTATTTTTGGTGGGGGATTTAAAGACAGGGTTTCTATATGTAACAGCCCTGGCTGTCTTGAAACTCACTCTATAGACCAGGCTGGCCTTGAACTCACAGATATCTGCCTGGTTCTGCCTCCAGATTAAAGGTGTGTTGGGATTAAAGGTGTGGGCCACCACTGCCGGCTTTTGTTTTACTTTTAAAAGCAAGTTCTTTTTCAAACTGTAGTATACCTTAGAACTTTCACAAAAGAAACATATAACTCTATCTCCCCGGAACATTTTACTGTAGCTGTTTTTTTTTTTTTCTTTAAAAATTGGGTATTTGAAGCCGGGCGTTGGTGGCGCACGCCTTTAATCCCAGCACTCGGGAGGCAGAGGCAGGCGGATCTCTGTGAGTTCGAGGCCAGCCTGGGCTACCAAGTGA